CCTCTGAGCTGCAGGTGGGGGTGCGCCCCTTCCCCGCAGTCCGAGGAGACGCTTCCTCCTGCGGCTTCTCCTTCGCTGCCGCCCCAAGCGAGGGTCGCTCTGGGAGCCCCCTGTAAATGTGTATATGTGCACATGTGTGTATGTATGTACCCAGGTCTCACCCGAGAAGCTGCGGGCGGGTGGCCGCGGCTGGCGCAGAGGCGGCCGCAGGCGGAGCTGCCCCGGCCGGAGCGGGGCACGGACCTGTCTCTCGGTTTGCCGGCTCCGGCACAGCCCTGAGGCAGTCCATGCAGAAGGATTCGGGCCGGCAGGACCCCGGCTGTGCTTGGAGAGTTGATAGGGGCCGCTTTTTGAAGATCTATCTTCAACAACATGGCCAGCACTGAAGCACTTCTCTGTGTATAGCCTGAAGATTCTTCTTCATATTAAGTTGATGTGAATACCATCACCTATATTTTCTCATTTACTAATATTTTTATACCCTGATTTTGAATTTACTCAGTGTTCCATATGTAATTCCTCAAGTAAAGCTAAGACAAACAAACTCACATTGCTTGAATTACCTGCTTTTCTTGTAGGTTCCCTGCACTCTTAGATACAAACCAACTTCTGGAACTCCCTAGCATTCTCAATTCTCTAAGTCCTATTCTTGCCTCCAAGTGAGGTGAAAACTAACTGTTTGAATTGTGAATTATCCATGGGATGCCAGCAGAAGAACACACCCCTTGGTATAGTAACATGCCAGACAGATACGACTGAAAACAAGAAATACCTTCTCCTGAGTGTCCCTCACATTTTCAACATGAGACAGAAGCCAGATGAACCAGAGAAGGAGATGAAATGAAAAGCGTTGATCTCAGATGTTTCAATAACTGTGAGGTTTAAATGAGGGGAGATCTTGCAACAACATAGCAAGTTTTATTTAAGAATGCACAGGACAGGTAAGAACTGTTTGTATGGCTCAGTAGTAAGAAAGGCTGCAGGATGGTCACACATTATAGCAACTTAAAAATCTGCTTTGAAGACAAACCTAATAAGTATCCAGTTATTGGGGAAAAAAAAACCCAAAACCCTCAGCTGACAGTCTTACGGACTAGTGAAACACAAATCCATAGCAACTGAGACTTCCATACTCGACTCACAGAATGTCTTGGTTTTAATGAAATCTTCCAGTCTGTCAGAATCTCCTGTTTTCTCCATCTTCTTCCTGTTGGAATATGTGCTTTCCAACATGCATGACTCTGCACTGGCCCATATGTACGTATGAGCATGTACGGGACTGAGAGGTTGGGCTCAGCTGTGCCTGACACAGATTGAGCACAGGCAAAGCCTCCTGTGGTCAGAAATGAAGGGCTTGGTAGTTCAGTTGCTGCCCCTCCCTATCACCCCCACATCTTGATTTGATTCAGAAAATAAAATAATCAATGGTAAGTTTTTCCCATTCAGTCAGGTGTTTTCCTACACTTTGTTAGTTGCTTTATTGTGTCCAAACACAACAAAAGCAATAAAATCACAAAATAAAAATCCCTGTTTAACCACCCAAAATGTGTAAATGAGCCTTGAGCTTCAGGTGGGTTACCCCACCAGGTGATAAACCAAGTCTTTTGTCCTCCTCAGTTAAGCAAATATTAGGAAGAAAAAGGTCTTTTAAAATGGCAAGGACATATTTAGATATGTTAAAACATTAAGGCAAAATTTGGAGAGAGAATGTTTCCTTATTGGTTAAACATATTTTTTTAAAATAGTGTCTGAAGTACTAAGCTAAGGAGTTAGGAACTTATTAAATTTTGTTCAAAATACATTCTTATCACAAAAGCTGATAAAGTTGTACAGTTTAATACTCCCAGTAAAAGCAATTTTTCAGTCACTTAAAATGTCACTAAGGCAGAGCAAATTATAATCTGGTGCTTCCTGCAAATGTGTTAACACAGTTCATTAAATCAGTCATTCTTCTTGACAGTTTTTTAATACACTTCTGGGATGTGACTCTCTAAATGTTCTCAGTGGATAATACACAGGATCATTTGTATGTACTCCTACCCATTCCAACCCAAAAGTAGGACTGAACATTGTCTTTTGTTCTGTATCTTGGCAAGACAAAGCAGCTGACACCTCTCTAAAATATGTTCCTTGAAAGCTTTTTACTAGGACACACCTAAAATAACTTCCAGTTTCCCAGGCTGGGCTGATTCTGGTGAGCTGCTTTCCATGAGGGTTTAGAGGGTTTCACGTGGCCAGCGTCTGGAAAAGCATAGAGAATCAATCATTTCATGAGATGACATCTATTCTAGGTACTTAAAATAACAATACAATACATGAAAGTAGGACTTGATCTTTCCAAGAGTACATCCCACTTTTGTCTTCAGTGATCCTATTTAAAAATTCTAACATGTTGTTCCAGACAGCATAGAGAAGTGAAACAAATGTCCAATTAGGTGTCAAGAATAACAAGCTGACATTTGTTCTCTACCCAAGAAATTACTTTTTCACCTTCCATTAGGTTTAAAAAAATATCATCAAATCATTTTTCTGGCTGGGCTTAGTAAAATACTGTTCTTTGAGTAATTTAGACTCTCTATGCATAAAAGCCTATTAATATTTCCATATACCTCCAATTCTGTGCTGAGTCCTTTGTCCTCCATTCTTTCTGCACTTAGTGAAGTTAAACTGTTTTGTTAATATTTGATAATGTACTTTATTTGCAAGTCTCACCCTTGGTATTTTAATGTTGCTATATAGAAAATTTTCAGATTATAAAAATAAAGAAAAATTCAAGAGAACTTTTTACTTTGATTTTTTTCCCTCTCCCAAAGTAGTTAACTCCTTTGTTTAATTTTTTTCCCCTCCTCCAGAAACAGTGCCAATCACATAACAACTTCAGCACCTGTTATTCATACTAAGTGTATACAATACCAGTGGCTATTGGTACCAATTTTTTGCCCCCATGTTAGTGAGAAAAGGTAAGACAGGTCATTAGGGCTAGCCAAGGAAATAGAGTTTCCCAAGCACATGCTGATTTAGTGAGGCCAGACTGTATCTATCGAAGCGTTTGTGCTGAAAAACCTCGCACTAAATCCTGAATCCTTCATCCCTCCCTGGAGGATTTAATGCTTGCAGACAGCAGGTCTGTGCTAACTTGGAGGATCCTGACTGAAATGGGTCAAAGAATGCAGTGCAAGAGCTTCAGCAGCAGAGGAGAAAACGCTGACAGCCCAGCATGGTAACACCTTCCCTCACACGGCTGCCTCTAGAAAACAACAGCCTTGCCCACCTTAGCTTTAAAAGTTGAAGGCACTGCTACACTCCCCTTCTTAAGCCATTCAGTATTGTATACATGGCAGGAGGGTAACATGAGTATGCAATGCAATAAATAAACAGGCCAGAATTTTTTCTTGTTCCTTTGTTCTTTCTTATCATCCCCTTTTTTGTTCCTCCTTGCCTGAGAGAGCTTATCTCCTTGAACTGTTGTTTTCATTTGTCTGTTGTCTTCTTTTCTTCTCTTTTCTCTTTTCTTTTTTCTTTCTTATTAACCAATATAAGATTGGTGAGGACCGGCTGTTGGGAACAATAAATATAGGTATATATTTCTTCTGCCTTGGGGAAATATGTTGTCAAAACATTTAGAATATTTTATCAGAGACTGACTAGAGGTATTACTGAAACCTCGATTTTTATTCCCAGCATGTGCTGTTTAGCAAATAACACTCTTGTCTAACTACTAGCAAATATGTTGCAGCTGCACTTTTCTGTCTTTTCTTGTCTTTGTGAAGATAAATCATCATCACTCTGTGGCAGTAAAACAGAGAGGTAACTAGTCCCATATTTGGCTTTTCTTACCATTGTCAAAATAAATACTTGCATCTGTGCAACTTAAATATGAAATGATGTCTTCTCTTTTTTGGAACCAGCAAATACTAACAACGGCAAGCTGGCATCTGAAAAGAAAATGAACAATTAAGATGACACATGCTTAAAACTCTGTATCACTCAAAATGAGAGCTCCCAACTCTGAAAACTCCATCTGTACCTTTACACAGGAGTCTATTGAGGTTATGAGGTTATGACAAAAGTGACTGTGCCATTCATGTTACTGAGTTGCTGAGGCAGATCATAATAAATAAAATCTTAGCATCCTAAAAGTGAAAAATTCAGAACTAAAGCAAAAAATGAGCTGCCTATTGAAAACCTATTAGAAGAATTGTGACAGTTTCTGCATTAAAATTTACTGAAAGGACTGTCTTGAAGTCTAAGTGCGTTGAGAAAGAAACACTTGGAGTGAGATCTGTTTTCACCAACAACTTCAGGACAGCAATGAAACAAAGCATGTTAGAAGCTTGCAGCTTGACAGTGAGGACCATAAGGAAGTTCTAAGCAGACCTCTGAGGATGGCATAAATAAAAGCAGTAATATCTAAATAATAACATAGGAAATAAGCCTGTACACTGTTTTGAGTATATGACTCATGATACCTAAAAGTGTTTTTTGTACTCAGATTCTTACATCATTACAGCAAATAGGGTTCTGCAGATCTTCTGCATGAAGATCTGGTTAAATGTCCTCCATTTTTTAAGTGCCTCAAAGAAAGGTTTCTTCTGCTTGTATATTGCCAAACATGCAGGCTGCTTAATCCTCTTTGGTATCTCTGAACACTGCTGCAGTAGGGCCATTCAGAAATCTCTGAACACTGCTGCAGTAGGGCCATTCAGAAATAACTGATACATGCTTCTGGATCGCTTTTTACAGTCATTAAGACAAATAGAGTTACATCAAACACTGAGCCAAAGAAAACCTGGAATAATATCTCAAGCTGTTCCATTTTCACTCACATTAAAGAAAAACCTTGGCAGTGCCATTCAGGCTGGGCTGCTTGTTCAAATGGCTGGAAGACATCATCTGCTGATGTGATCTAACAGGCAAGCACCTTACATATGCAGATGGACTAAAACAGAACATCTTTATTGAAATATCTTAACCTAATACAGTCAAGAAAAAAGATGCTGCCATAGATGTGGCATGAACAAAGATGGTTTACCAGCTGGGGGTTTTTACCCCTTTCAGAGTGATAAGGTTTTTTCCTGCCATACAGATGTGGGAGCTGTTTTCTACTGACCCTCAAAGATGCTTCAACTCTTAGCCCAGTGTCTGCAGCTTCTCTGCTACCACCATCCCAGCTATTTGTAACTCATCAGACAAGAAGTCCAGAAACACGGCAAGAAGGCACTGCTGTTTCTCAGCCATATTTTGTTAACCAAGTGATCTCGTTGGTAGAAATGAGTCCCAGGTCCCCACCGCTCCCGTGCACACAGCTGGCACAAGCTGCATCACAGTCAGACCCTGTAAGGAGGGATGTTCAGGATTTGGCAGAAGCCTTGGCCTTGATTAGAAGCATTTTTGCGTTATTAAGAATTCAGGGCTCCAGATACTCCACAGACTTCCCCTGGTGAGCATTCAGCTCAATTTGAAGAAAGAAAAAGCAAAGAACCCTCTCTCTGGTCTGGCCGTCTCAAATTGGACAGGAATTGCAGACCTACTATCTTCAGCAGCTGGTCTAAGTCACAAAAAACCTCCTACTGAGAATTTCCATTTCTATTTTACATATTCTGTGCTATTTATCAGTGATAGAACAATATCTGTACTTTTTGTGGCAGTGCTACACAGTGAACTTGTAGCTGGTTTTTTGTCTATGACAATCGTCAGTCCTTTTCCGTGTCAAGGGATAGCTTTGACATGCAGCTCGGAGCTTTGTGGAAAAGAGAGCAACTGTAAAACTTTAAATAGAAGAGATTGGTTTTGACTGTTATTGGCAACGTTCAGATGGAGCCGAAGCAGTTTAAGAGGGAATAAACACGCCATCAGAGCAGGGCTACCGCTCCACCTGGTGGGCACCCGGCGGCTCAGAGGGGCGCGGCGAGCCTCGCCCGGCAGGCCCGGGGAATGTCCCTCAGAGCCCGGGGTGCGTGACTGAGAATGAACCACGGAGGATCTCCTTCAGGGCCCCCGCCTGAGACCCGAGCGATCGCCCCACAGCCTCTCCCGGGCCACAGCAGCCCCGTGGCGAGACACCCGCCTTGTGGAGGGTGCTGCGGGTGGTGCCGGCTCCTCACGGGCGGGACTACATGGCCCAGGCTGCCGCGGGCGGGAGGGGCGGTGCCGCCGCCGCGCGCGCTGCCGTGCCCGGGCTCGGCCCGCCCGCCGCGGCCTCAGCATGGCCGGCTTCGCCGACCTGAACCTGCCGCAAGGGCTGGACAAGAAGTCCCTGCAGAGC